TTATTGTATCAAGATTACGCTGAAATTACTAATGCTTTGGTCGTTGTTGAAAGGCTTGTAGAAAAATAATCTGTATAAACTTTGCAGAAGGATATACAATTTAATGCAAAAAAACATTTTATGCATAAACAACAATGCAAAGCAAACCCGAATTATTCAGCGCGCTGTTTTGCGCATTTCATTCACATCCCGGGTCTGAATGGTCCACGTGAATACAGAGTGCTGTTTTTTATGTTCTTAGGGTTTGTGCCACTACTTCTATTCGTTTTTTCTCATACCTTTATTAGGGTATAATTGGTTCAGGTTTGCACTGCAAGTAATCGAGGCAAAGGAAATTGAACAAAAAGACTAGACGAAGAAGACCAGCTGCTGAACTCATACAGTACGATCGTCTTGCAGATTCCCTAACCACTAGTGGCAGGCAAGGTGGAAGTAAACATTTCGATCACGTGCATACATACGTTTTTTATACTCCACTTGCGGTCTCAAAATTTTAATGTCCCACGAAAGACATTCGAACGAGTATGCCATATTCCGTTTCATCGGGATACACGAAGGGGTACCCTGCCTCCTCTTAAGTTAATATCTAGGGCGCTTCCGTAAGCATAATATATGAAACGTACGCCACGTTATGGCACGAGTTAGAAATATTCCTGGACCCTGCGTCGATACAATACGGATATCCAGCGCAATTAGTTTTCAAGTTGAGAGTGGTGAATCGAAAAGTTGCATATTCGCAACAATTTGGTATTAAGAAATACCGGTATATGGAGAGGGCATTAACTTGAGCTTCATCTATGAACATTCAAATAGGGGCTCAACCCATCTTACCTATTTACACAAACTCTTTTACTCTCGCATTGATTTTCCTTTCCTATTGGAATTAATGAACATGACAATATTGGTGATTCTTTGCAAGATTGCATGGAAAGTTTATGCATCTAACCCAGCGCGAGACATTGAGAGACATGGCTGACACATAATGAAAACTCACGGGTGTCTATGGTCAATAGTCACAAGAAATTCTTTAGGTAATGTTGATTTTCTTCATGTGTAACATTAGCAAACGTTTATTTGTTTTTACTAAAGATGTCGTTTTTTTTCATAAATGAAAAAGAGTGAACCATTTTTAGTCCCATGCAGCTCCTGCAATCGACGCTTAACGGGTAAACATTCATTGGCTTTCCAAACTTAAGTGGTTCTCGTTGTCCATAAATTAGATTTTAACGCTTATTAAGGATAGATTGACTATAACATGCATAGGTCTACGCGATATGTTGGAATTGATAATTAGGGATCATAAGGTTATTTAATGAACTATACGATAAATCTTAATCTTGAAATGCTTGATGCGCTAAGGTTTGATCGTATATGGTTAGCGGACCCTGTGTTTTGACACCATTAAGACGTACGCATAGTGGTTTTCCTGTCGGTGACAAATGTCTTGAAAGTACAATAAGTTCTCACGGTATTTAGGAGTTGTTACTCGTCTTGTAACTGTTAATTAATACTGGAAGGCGTTCATTTTGTAAGTGAATAACTATCCCGGGAGCTATTTTTGGGGTGTTTACTGAGTGGCTAGCTTGCAATAACTGTGTCTAGATTTTTAACTATCTGAATGAACTTTTTCAGTCCAGTACATAATTGAGGACACACTCTCAAATAACTATTTGCGATTGTGCGATATCCGAGACTTTCTGAACAAAGTCCCAATCACGGATTCACTCAGGAATTCACATCTCCTACAAGAGTGTTCTTAAGCTCACGATATGACTGGATAATTTCGGAGACTTTGTGTATACGCACACGGTAACGTTGAAAAGTCACCGCCTACGCTCAAGAATCCGCTTTTGCGATATATTATTAACGAATGAAATAGATAATGCAGTATAATGTGTAGTGAAGAAAACTTATTCGGTTATAAAATACAATACTATACGTTGCCGAGAGACTCAAATTGAAGGTAGCAAGCCTTTAAATAAACAATTTCCTTATTTGACAACGTGCCAATGACAGTTAAGATAAATATTCGTCTCGCATCTTGTAATAAAGAGTAGATGTCATACACGAGGCGATGAATTTATAATAATAAATAGCTGAGTCTAATCCTATTGGATGTATATAGTAATGATAAAAAAGTTTCATTTCATTACTTTTGCGAAAAATTTACAATGACGATAGACACCTAAGGCTGAAAATGAGAGCGATCAAAGCGCGAGCGCCCTCCACACTCGCCTCAGAAACTTTACGGGCTTGTTGCTCGGGAGTAGTAATCCCCGCCAGCACAGACCTCGATTTCTCACCATAATTTGTCACTGAGCGATAAGTGTTACAAAGTAATGTAAATTATCGAGGGGCGGTAGAGTGACCCACAAATCCCATGTTTTATATCAAGTTTGCAATGGAAATCTATCGACCACGTTTTTTGATGTCACTATTTTGGTTACTTTCCATTTGCTCATGGGTACTTCTTGTTTATGGGCGGTGTGTGTTGGACACGGCTAGTCTTGCGTAAATTGAGATTCTTTGGCGCTTGCGAAATGTCTCTGTGTTATGGGCATTGCTGCAATTACTCGCACCGAGAATTTCTGAGATGGCAGATATACGGCTGTCGCAAAAAATAATAACCACGTACAGAAGCCTCTGGTTCTGAGGAAAAAGTTGTAACACAATGCATACATTCATTATCAATATAACTCAATTCATCTTATTACTTTAAGTTCAGGATATTCAAATATATTGTGTGACCTATGTTTTAGTCAGGATGTTTGTTCGGAGTAGTGAATCTGTATTTATATTCAACAAAGCCGTGTTATTTATTATATCGACTTATTAGCAGACACAGCGACAAATGAATTATATAAAGTTCGGTTATATTATATGGAAAAACCTGGACTAACACATCTCAGACATATCATAGCAAACGAGAAGAAGAATCGAGAGTTGCACCAAAAACAGTGACAAATTAACGTACTAGTTAGACATATATCCGATGAGGCTCTCACTATATGAGTTCATATTAATATATAAAACACATATGTATGTAGCATTATAATTGTTAAGGGAGATAAACAAGAACAGAGTCGAGAAGAGAGTTTTTGGTTGGGAAATACTATATTAATTGTGAATCGAATAATGTACTGTCTATTGATATAGATACTGCTATAAGACAACTTGGTGTCACAGAAGTACAAGCATAGCAGATATTTTTGCTGCAAAACGCAGAAATATGTTCGCATCAGATTAATTATTAGCTTTTGCGAGAAAAGCTCTCTAATTATTACACTGTATTGGCACTGTATCTACTTAAGACGAGATAACGGATACATCAGTTTTCAGAGCTTTCTATCACTCTTTGTCAAATACACGACACCTGCTATAACACCGCTATACAAGGATAAATAGAGTACAAATAGACATTCAAAGGCAGGATTTCCTTGCAAATTGAAAAAAAAATCTATGGGTGCTTACCCCCTGATATTTTCTTTTGATCGCTCAGACAAAGAAACTGGCTTGCGGTTACCATTACCATAGGAAGACACGCTCAAAAAATTACGCCTATACGATTCTTTAATGGAGCATAATCTTAACTGCAGGCAGTCAAATAATGGTATAAGTGCATATTCATTGGTTTCTAGACGAAGATTAATAAACGGAAAGTTTTCAGTCATGTTATGTTACATAATGTAATAAAACAAACGGTTTTGTGGCTTGCTTAGTTAGAGAAACAATTCGAAACCATAGGTAATAAATCAGGAATTACCGAATGTGGATGTTTTCGAATGATTCGTAGCTAGAATTCAATGCCGATAAATCTGTAAGATAAAAAATTTGACAGTGATGAAAGCTAGCACTTAGAAACAACCATCCGGGATAAATTCAAAACGCTTCAAAATTAATAACAGTTTAAAAGTACAACTAATCGCACAAGAACAAACATTTTACGGACAGGAAAACTATGCTTTGCTAGAAAGGTCTCAAAACAATTTAATCAACCCTTTGAGAACAAGCATTCAGATAATTTAAATTTCTATACTATATCCTAAAATCCTATGGCTGCTATAACAGGTAAAAAGCAAAATTATATTTGGAGCAAAATGCCGAAGGGATTGCAGAATCATGGACTAAAAATGGTCACTCTTTTTCATTTATAAAAAAACGACATCTTTAGTAAAACAAATTAAACGTTTGCTAATGTTACACATGAAGAAAACTCAACATTACCTAAAGAATTTCTGTGACTATTGACCATAGAAACCCGTAGTTTCATATGTGTCAGCCATGTCTTCGTCAAGCCTCGCGCTGGGTTAGATGCATAAACTTTCCATGCAATCTGCAAAGAATCACCAATATTGTCTGTTCATAATCCAATAGGAAAGAAAATCAATGGGAGAGTAAAAGAGTTTGTGTAAATAGGTAGATGGGTATGAGCCCCTATTTGAATGTTCATAGATGAAGCTCAAGTTAATGCCCTCTCCATATACCGGTATTTCTTAATACCAAATTGTTGCGAATATGCAACTTTTTCGATTCACACTCTCAACTGAAAACTTGAATTGCGCTGGATATGCCGTATTGTATCGACGCAGGGTCCAGGATATTTCTAACTCGATGCCATAACGTTGGCTGGTACGTTTCAATATTATGCTACGAAGCGCCCTAGATACTAAGAGGAGGCAGGGTACCCCTTCGTGTATCCCGATGAAACGGATATGCATACTCGATTCGAATGTCTTTCGTGTGGACATTAAAATTTTGAGACCGCAAGTGGAGTATAAAACGTATGTATGCACGTGGATCGAATGTTTACTTCCACCTTCCTGCCACTAGTGGTTAGGGATTCTGCAAGACGATCGTACCTGTATGAGTTCAGCAGCTGGTCTTCTTCGTCTAGTCTTTTGTTTCAATTTCCTTTGCTCGATTACTTGCAGTGCAAACCCTGAACCAATTATACCCTATAAAGGTAGAGAAAAAACGATATAGAAGTAGTGGCACAACCCTAAGAAACATAAAAACAGCACTCTGTATTCACTGTGACCATTCAGACCGGGAGGAATGAAATGCGCAAACAGCGCTGTACCTATTTTACTTATTTTCAGGCCTCAAACACAACAAAGAATTATACTATCCAAATAT